CATGTACAGATCACGCGCCAAGGACAACACGTATATTCGTGGTTAGGGCTGCCACGCAACGTAAGTAAAGCTGCGTTAGCCGGAGCGGAACCCGACGAGGAAGCCCGCCGCGTAGCCCGAGCCCGCGGGAAGGCTGAATTCGAGAACGTCCATCATCTTCTTGTACATGACTTGGACGTCCTTGGAGTCAAATTTGCCATCCTACATGTTGGTTGCGCATGAGAGGATGGCAGTCGAGGAGGCGTGGAGTCGACCTTGTTGATGTCGAGCATATCGGTGATGTCGCGCTCGAGCTTCTTGTAGTTGACATCGAGGTACCCGTAGTAGCTCGCGCATTGCATGGCCATAAAGGCGCACCCGAGCATGACGGCACCGACCTTGGAGACCTTCTTGAGCGCAAATCCGGAGCACGCGCCCATCATAAAGCCCCATGAGATCTGACCGCCCTGGCCGGACGCGAGGAAGTCATTCACACGCGCCTGGAGGTCCTCGGGCGACGTCGGCACGGTCTTCGTCAGGTCGGTCAAGAACGTCTGGAGCTTGGCCAAGGCGTCGCCGGCAGCCTTGTCGTCGTTGCTGGCGCACTGCGCATCGTCCGAGCTCGCAGCCACGACGAGGCCGAGCGACAAGAGGCCTTGGCCGGCCTTCCAGTACATGGACATATCGGGCGCAGGCCTATGTGGCGGCGTTAGCACCGTCGGGACAGGTGCGGCGAGACGTACGCGGCGAGTTCGATCGCGCGCTGCGGCGGCGCCTGCATGCGCACGCGCGTGGGCTGCTGGTAGAGGTTGGTCGGTGCAATGTACGCGCGCGCCTTGAGCTGGCGCCGGAGAACTGGGCGGCTGCGGCCGCCCGCGACGCGAAGGGCTTGCATCATGCTGGTCGACGTGACGCTTCTTTGTGTGTTGACACAACGCCGTGCTTGCTCTTGACATCCGGAGAGTCATCCGGATACGATCATGGGACAAAAATTGGCAGCAAAACTGCAGCTGCCTGCTTGGTCCTCGACGACGCATGATTTACTTGTCAAGCTCTAACGCCACGAAGACGACATGCCCCTAGATTGCACGGTTAACTCGGAGGTAGACTCGCTTGGCTCACCTTGGCTAAAGCTCTTGGCTAGTAGAAAGGCTAACATGGCTAGCAGTACAAGACTACAGTCCAAGCTGCTATTGGTATATTGGCCGATACAGGTTGAGAATGCATGATTCCTGCGTCGACTGCTGCTGGTACATCAACGTGATGTTGTTGTCGAGTTGGCTTTGCGTCGCTGGATCTGGTGCGGCACATCCGACCAACCGGTGAAGGATCCCAGCCCTCGACTCCACCGACTTGGATAGTCGCCTGATGTATCCATATTCCTATGGTCGATCCAGGATCGTTCGGATCGTTTTTTGGTATCACCAGCTCCACGCTCGCGCAAGACTGTCAGCAGCAGAGGCTCGCAAGGAGCTAAGGACAAAATCCAATTTGTTTGCCTTCCGCCGTATCCGGATACCGGATAGTTCCATTTTTGATTTGACATGGCCAGCATCAGCGACCGCTTCGTCAAGTGCCCCGCTTGCCACGTCAACATCCCGAAGCAGGACCTTGCGATGGGCGAGGCGCCGGCCTGCACCGTGTGCCACGCGCCGTTGCCAACGACGCTCTTTGCGGCGGCGGCGAGCGCGGCGCCCGCCAAGCCGACCATCCAGCACCGGTGGGTCGCGCTGACCTCGCGCCGAGGCAAGACGTACTACCACAACAACGAGACCGGCGAAGACCGCTGGGACAAGCCCTCGGACTTTGAAACGACGGTCTCGGTGCACGAGGCGCCGCCAGCCTTTGGTACGCTCCATCTCTCGCTTCCTCTTGCCGACTTGCCTTGTAGTCCCGTTCAAGAACGACGATCCGGTCCGCAACGCCATCTTGTTGCAGCAGTCCAAGCAAGAAGCCAAGAAACATGGTATTCCCGAGAGCGTTGTGAATGCGCTTGCCAAGCAACGCGACACCGACGCGCCATCGCTCGATGCGACGATCGCTGCGATGCAGATGCAGGCTTCGGCGGCCAAGGCTGCGCCTGTCCGCGCTGCCCCAACGTCGACGCCGACACCGCCAGCGCACGAGACACCGATGCCTGCACCTGCGAGCGTCGACGACTCGTCCTCGTCGTCCTCGTTGTGCTGCCTCATGTAACACGAACGAGCTACGGCGTCGTTGAAACGTGCAGTGTTCGCGTTGCCACTATGTGTAGTAAAGACAACAGGTGGGGGCGATAAAAGTGGCGTCAAAAAGAGCGAAGGGCCCTCTGAGGTAAATGCGATCGTGGTGGGCTCGCGCGTTACTGCTGCCGACACACGCATTACGAGAGCTCTGAGCGGCCACTGGACGAACAAACGCTGGCAGCAGAACTTTTGACGGTACGGTGTAGTCCTTATACATCTCGAAGAGTTGCGATTCAAACGGGTCAGGTCGCGGACGCGCTGTAGGATGCGACGGATAGTGCCATCGAGCGTCGGCGTTGCAGAGGCGACACATACCTAAACGTTGTGTAATGCCCTCGCCCACAGATTTGATTACAGTAGTAATGGCGTAGCGACCACCGTCGCTTCAAGTTGAAGCTCGTCGTCTCACCCTCGCACGATCAATTTATCTTGGTCGGGTCACGTCACTTCCCGACGACGACCCTACCCCCAAAGCACGAACCTACGAGTGTCTACTTTGAAACCGCCATTTCGGCGACACGGATCCGCTCGCTCCGAGAGTTTCACGACTGTCAGTGCACACAATATGATCGTGCAGACTGCATGAGAAGTTCGTGCAGTAGTGGTGGCGAGCTCCCGCGTGTATAAACTGAGCATGGGCACCGCACGATCTATGCACATCTATGCAACCATTACGTCGCTGCCCAGTCCCATGCGCACTAGCACCGAGGAGGCCAAAGACGCGGACATCGCGGCTACTGCTGCCGAGGTCTGCCTGGAGCACCAAGCTTGGGGCGTTGCGACATGCCAACTCGGACGCCTCGGATTCGTCCATCTTTTTGTCCAATCATATCCCGCCATCCAGCGCGGCCTGGTCGGCGGTGGTGGAAAACCGAATTCCACGAGGTTTCGCCCAGCTTGCAACGGCCACGTTCGTTGAACGTCACGCAATTGATGACCACGGAATCCTCGGATGTTTCGAGGGCACCATACAAGGCGAGCTACGAGTTGCTCTGGACGAGTGCTGAGAGGCTATACCTACCTGTACGCTCCTGGTGCAAAGACGACCAGCTTCTGCAGAGCACGCGCCAGTATACGAGTCGGACGCCAAACACCCGCAAAACCAAAAAGGATCGAAACCAGATTTCAGAACAGCTTTTGATACACCAAGCGCGAGACCAGAATGCGTATTTCGGCGAGCAGCCATCGGCTGATCCACATTACCACAATACCCATGCACGGTACAACTCCTCCAACCTCCAAGCACGCCATTCCTACAACAAAGAAGGGTGCACACGACGCGCCATTGACCACCAGACAGGCACAGAGAAGCCGTGTATCGTTATCGAACGCAGGATGCAGTGTATGTTGATATCGCGTCGTCGTTGGCGTGTGCTGACCACCTCGATACTGGATACAGAATTCATAGGATTCGGATCTCATCTCTCAAAGCAACGAGTGCAGCATCGTCGCGGGCTGCCTCTGGCGGCTGCTTGCTTATCTGTACGAGCGACCGAGGGGTTTAGGTGGAGCGTGTCGCGACGATCTTGCCACATTATTGTGTCCCTTTTTTCTTATTCGCGGTCAAATCCTTTTCGTAATTGCTGGATCCGGGACAAACTGGGACAAAGATCCGGACCGGATGTGCCATCGCTTCTTTTCGGCACCAAAAGTCCTAATTCTCTAATTATAGGCACTCGTCGTCCTCACTCGCGCAACATAGTTTCTCTGCCGAGCCACTCGACGAAGCAGCAGCAAGACGACGACGACGACGACAAGCATGGCCAACGAACGGGAGAAGATGGACATGCACCGCGAGTACATGAAGCGGTACCAGCAGCAGGCCTCGCACCTCACGCCCGAGACCGTGCGCTACAAGGACCACTATGCGGCGCTGGGCATCCCGCGGTCGGCGACGCACGCCGAGATCCGCGCTGCGTACCGCAAGCTCGCGCTCAAGTTCCACCCGGATCGCAACCCGTCCAAGGAAGCCGAAGAGCGCTGGGACGGTGTGCCGGCGGCCTACGCGGTGCTGAGCAACCCCAACGATCGCAGTACGTGCCAAATTACGCCGCTTGAAGCCTCATGCAGAGTGCTACCTAGGTCACTACGATGCGTCGCTCGAGACGCGCGATGCGCTCGTGCTATTCTACTCGACGTACAACCCGGCCAAGCTCGACCAGTGCACGATCCAAGCGGTCATTGACGGCTGGCACGGGCGCGAGGTCGAGCTCTTCCGCATGCTCAGCGACAAGTACGAGATTGCAGCCCACTCGGGCACGAAGAGCGCCAAGGACCTCACGGACATGCTCAACATGCCCGAAGAGAAGGCGGCGGCCATCAGCAAGGACAGCATCGCGTCGGCGCCGCTGCCACCAACCTCATATTCGCTCTGGGAAGGGCTGCGCTACCTCAGCCAAGGCGTCTGCTGCGCGGCCAAGAAATCCTACTACGAAGTCAACTCGCAGGTACGGTACCGCTATCCATGGATCGATCCGACGCGTTGGATAGAGTCCAGGGTTTATCGATCTGACGCGCAACACCAACACGCCAGGCACAGCGCCCCACACGACGAGTGCCGACACGGAGTTTGCAGACAAGGACCGACCAAAGACGACGTCGTCGGCGGCGTCGTCGCCCGAGACGGCGAGCTCGACGAGCAGCAGCCACAGCGACGCGGTGCCCGGCCCCGTCCTGCCGGACGCACCGACCGAAGGCGCGTTTGCGACGGCGGTCTAAGCGCATTTTTATATATATACGCTCGTACTAGAGTAGTACGAGGATACGCGTAGTACGTGGTGTCAATCGATGACATATTGTGCACACTCTGTCCCGTGCCCCAGGATCAACTCTTGGGTTGGATAGTTTAAAATCGATGAGGGCTGGGAACAGGATACGATCGGGTTGATTCTGGGTAACTGGGTTTATTGGTGTGCACAGGATCATTCCGGTAGTTATTGTGACACCCACGGATGACACTGGATAGCTACACTGGATAGTATTTTGGCAGCGAGGTCGAGGACGCAGCCATGGATACGCGAGGACGCGGGTATTAATACTTGCAGAGGATGATATCCGTATATTGAGCACTGGATCGATCCGAGATAAGGACACGGGATGGGTGACCGAAGGACACGGGATCAGCGAAGGAATACACTGGATAATAGTAGTACAGAGTACATTATTGGATGCCCAATTTGGATAGCGAGATTATTGCCACTTTTGCTCGTTGTCGTCGGCCCGCTTGAGCTGCCAGAGCCGCGTCGCCGGGTTCAGGACCGCGTACTCTACGACCCGCATGAGCATTTAAGACGAGGAAGAGGAAAAGAGAATTGGAAAATGAAGCTGAAAATGAACATGAAAATAAAAATGAAGCTGAAAATGAACATGAACATGAAAAATGAAGAGGACAAACCTTGCAAGAGCGACTTGGCAATGTCGGCGGGCACGCCATGCGCCTCGATAAACTCACTGCGCGAGATGGACGCGGATTTTTCAAACTAGGATCCAAAATGACGTGGCAGCACGAGCGCGTCGAGTGGGTACCTCGTCGGCCAGCAACGACCGGTACGCGACGTGCGTCTTGAGGAGCGTGCTCTTGGGCAGGAGGCAGCCGCGGACGACGGTCGCGACGCGGTCGACGCACGCGCGGAGCTCGTCCGTGGTTACATTCACCGGGAGCAGCGACCGAAGCTCCTTGAAGTGTAGCACCTTGTCTAAAATCCAAGTCAATATCCAAAAAAATCCAAACAATCCTATCGGAGAAAGAGTAGATACCGGTCGTGAGGATATCGAGGACCTTCTTGTCCAAGTCGTCGTTGCCGACCATGTCGACGTCGTCCGAGGCCAGCGTTAGTGTGCTCATCTCATCGCCGTTGCGGTAGCTGAGCGCGCGAAGGTACGCGGCCGGCGTCACATCAAACTCGACGGGCGCCTCGGTCTCGCTGAAAAGCTGTTCGAACTCGTCCTTGTCTTCGTCTTCCGAGACGACGCGGAGCGGGATCCACTTCTCGCTCTGGATAAGACCCCGCTTGTATGCGTACGAGCTCTGCATGGCCGCAAGCGCGCGTTCCGACTGCCGCTTTTTGAATTGCACCTGGACCTCCTTGACGTCCGGCGTCGCGTCTGCAGCCTTCTTCTCGGTCTCGATATCGGCCATGTCGTCGTCGGAGGCCTCGTCGTCCGACTCGTCGAGGTGCTGCAACGACGGGCGCAGCTGCATGATGCTCGAGACCGGCGTCAAGTGGAGCTGGCCCTTCCGGAAGACGCCGGCGGCGTAGTTGGAGACTGGCGTCACGACATTCGAGGTGAGCGGTAGCATGGGCGGCAGCGGCGTGTGGTCTTCCGCGTTGTAGTTGGTCTCGGTGTTGACCGGGTATTCGAGCGTGACCATGGCGTTCTCGGGCTTGTACTTGGCGCTCGCTGGTCGCGTGAGCATGCCACGGTACACCGGGCGCAGCGGGTACTGGAACACATGCCTAGCCATGCGCATGAGCCGCGAGGCTGGAAGGTGAGGCCATGGCCATACAGGTTGCCACGCAGGAAGTCGGCGAGATGCACTGGGATCTCGCACACGACGGGGTCTTCCTCGGCCATGATGCTCCCACTTGGTTGCAGATCTCGAATGGCAGCTCATTGGCTCACAAACCGTGGGCCTCATGGATGTGGCATGTGCCGAATGTAAGAGGTTACCACGTCGACCGCGCTACTGGTATCGCCGCGGCGCCGCGTGCCGCCCTACATATTACTAGACGATCGCGCCAATCGTTCTCTATGGGCACGGGCGTTTACGGTGCGATCCTCGTCGCTACGAACGGTCCAATGTCGTGGCGGGCAGTGGTGATGGCGGCAGTGATGCCGATTTTAAATTGAAAATGCCACGACAACCATGCTATAGATCGGCATATGCCGATGTTAGCTAGAACGCGGACATTGCCGAAACGAAGCTCGTCCTAATTAGGATATCGTCACTAGCCGCAAGCAGATGGGCCATTTTGGCATGTTCAAAGCAAGGTAAGATGCGAATCCAGCGGCCAAGATCGCAGCAGGATGATGATGATGATGCTCCTGGCGGCCATGTAGCAAGTACCGCAACCTCCTTGGGGCGACGGCCCCGCGCGCCGAGTGGTACGAGGAGCTGCAGCTGGACGCAGGCCGCCTCGACCTGTACCCGCTGACGGCGTCGACGTCGACGCTCGCGTTCGCGTCCCAGTACAACGGTAGAGCCATCGTGAACCATGGCCTCTCATGGCCTCGCGTAGCCGGCGCGGTCATCGAGGTCAAGGAACTGGGCCATGTCGGCAAGGCCAACGCGCAGTCGGCGCCGGTACGGCCATCCGCGTCGTCCTTGCCCTGGCATCTCGTTGTAGGTGCGGCTCCTGCGCGGCCACACGCAACGCGTCAACGCTATCGCCTTCTCGCCCTTCCAGACGTCTCTCTTGGCCTCTGGCGGCGACGAAGGTCTCCTCAAGGTACTCGACGATGACGCTCGTCCGCTCATGCTTATCATGTAGCTCTGGCATCTCGCCGACGATACCTGCGCATGGACCAGCGAGAGCTTCAATGAGAAGATCCTCTCGGTAGCCTTTCACCCGTCGGCAAACGACGTTCTTCACGTCGCCACGTCGACGGGGCTGCACCTCGTGTACCTCGACACGTCGACATCGACGGCCATCGGCGTCCATCCCAATACCATCACGGGGGCAACATGGAACGACGACGGGAGGTAGACATGCGTATATGCGCCTCGCCTTGCATTTCCTCACCATATGCGTAGTCTCGTGCTGTCCGTCTGCCAGGACAATGTCGTACGTGGCTGGGATCCTCGGACGGCGACCGAAGCGCTCTCTGCGCCGATGCATCAAGGCCGCAAGGCCGCCAGCATTGCGTTTGCCTATGACATGTACTGCGTCACGGCCGGGTTTAGCAAGCTCCAGGAACGTGAGCTTTTCCTGTGGGACTTGCGGTCGATGACGAGACCGATGGGGCGCGAGCGCGTCGACACGAGCACCGGTGTCTTGCTGCCGCTGGTGGACCCCGATACGAAGCTGCTCTTCCTCGGCGGCCGAGTACGCCGTTTCTATGACAATATGGACCACACTACTTTGGCTAAACCAAGGGTTAGGGCGACCGCAGTGTCAAGGCGTACGAGATCCAGCAAAAGGCCCCGATCTTTGCGCCGCTGCAGACGACCGCGGTCGCCACCTCGACGTGGGGCCTCACGCGGCTGCCCAAGCAAGCGTGCGACACGCGTGAGTGCGAAGTCGCTCGGGTGCTCAGCGTCGGCGCCGGTACGATCGAACCGATCTCGTACACAGTGCCACGCAAGGAAGCTGCCGCTGTGTTTCAGGTAGGGACCAAATGACATTTTTCTCCAAATTTCAAAAGCGAAAACTAAACTGGAGAGACTAAAGACATAATGGTGTAGGCCGACCTGTACCCAAACACGCGCGGGGCAACACCAGCGCTCTTGGCACCGCAGTGGCGCGACGGCGCATCGGCACCGCCAGTCTTGGAGCCCGTGCGGCCGACATCGGCGTCACTCGTGTCGAGACCAACGACGGCGACGACGACGAATAGCGCTGTATCCGGCTGGAGCACGGGCAACTGGGTACCACCGGCTGCAGCCAGCTCCGCACCGGCACTGACAGCGTCGGTATCGACAGCTCCGTCGGGCTGGGACACGATGCCCACGCGTCAACTTCAGCCAGGCACCTCGACGCGCACCGAGGAGCTGCCACGCGCGGTGGTGCCATCAGCACCTGCTGCGCTACCGCCGGCTACCGAGACGACACCGGCAGTGACGACCAAGGTACCCGTTGCACCGACACCGACACCAGTCGCAGGGCCGACGCAGTGGGCACCGCCCGTGACGGCATCGGCGCCCGCACCACCACCGGCTGCGTCGGCATGGAAGTCGGCGAGCGGGTGGGGCGCGGTGCCCGACACGGTGATTTTGTCAACGCCGGCGCCGCCACCGTCGACGACGACCGAGCTCTCGGAGAAAGCCAAGCGTCTCGGCGCACTCCAAGGCCACAAGGTAGTCACGCCACTTCGATACCGACCATTTTGGGAGTTTTGCTAGCTCAAGTACTTGACGGGGCGTCCGGACGCGCGGTCCGAGTCGTTTTTGAATGTTGCTGGCGACGGCAACGCGCTTGCGACCAACGGGGTCGTGTGGGCAGCGTCGGCGCCCGGCACGGGCGGTCCCATCCACGTCCATCCCTTGGACCAAAAGGGCAAGGTATGGATGCCGTCATTTTCTTTTGTATATGGTTGCATCGTATGGATGTAGGTGACGGCGCCCCGCGTGCTGCAGCAGCACAAGGCGTCCGTGACCGACCTCGCGTTTGCTCCGTTCGCATCAAATGTCCTCGCGTCGGCGTCGGACGATGTCACGATCAATGTACGTCGTCATATTGTCAAAAGATTTTAGCTATAGCTATGGTGCTATTCTATAGCTATGGGATACGACCAGCGATGCGTGCGTGGCGACACTCTTGGGCCATACCAAGGGCGTGCGCTGCTTGAGCTTTCACCCGACAGCGGCAAATGTGCTGGCGTCCGGCGCACTCGACGCAACCGTCCGGCTCTGGGACGTGGAAACGGGTGTTACCCGCCAAATCATCGACAAATTTGACGAATCGCCCTTTAATGTGTCGTTCAATGCGGATGGGTCCCTCTTTGCGACGATCACGCGCGACAAGGTGCGTGAAACCCGCGGTGCGTTTCCTCATGTCGTCGATCGTAGGTTCTCCGCGTCATCGACCCGCGGCTCAACCAAACCGTCGGCATGGCCTGTGCCCATGCGGGTAGCAAGGCCCAGCGCGTGACGTGGTGCACGCAGCAAGCGTCGTCGCTGCTGTTTACGGTACCTTTTTGAGGACGACGGCGCGTCCTCGATGCGCGTCTAGGTCGGGTTTAGCGCGCGGAGTGAGCGCCAGATTTGTCTCTACGACGCACGCAACCTCTTGGATCCGGTTGTGACCACCACCATGTACGACCAGAATCCAGATTCTAGATTCTAGATTCAGGTGTCGATTGAGACGTGTGTCTAGTGATACGTCGGGGAGTGCGCTGTTGCCGCTGTACGATAGCAGCTCGAACGTCATGTACCTTGTCGGGCGTGGCGACCGCACGGTCTTGTGCTACGAGATAGACACGGTTCGAACCCGGGTATCGCCATCTTTTTCGTTGAATTTTGCGGTGTAGGTGCAACCCGCGCTCTTGCCGTGCTCGATCTACTCGTTCAACGGACCAACGATTTCAGCGGCGGCCTTCTTGCCCAAGCAGCACTGCAACATCGAGGTTTCCTCATCGTTTTGTTTTGAAAACAGCGCAGTAGCATCGTCGTAGGACGTCGAAGTGTCTCGGATGCTCTTGCTGACGTCGGGCGCGACGATCGAACCTGCTGCGTTCGTCTTGCCCCGCGCCGAGAAGCTCAAGACGTATTTTCAAGACGACGTGTACGGCCCCGTGCCATCCAACGACGCCAGTGTCTCGGCCGCCGACTGGTTCCTCGGTGCTTCTGCGCCGCCCAACTACACGTCGTTGCAGCCGCCGGGTCCGTGCGCAAAGGACGCGTCCTTGTCCTGACAACCGCGTGCACGTAGGTATGCTCAAGCTCAGCGAGAAGCCGCCCGAGGCCGCCGTCGTACCCAAAGTGGTCAGCTTCCAGGCACAGAAAGAGCGCGAGCTGCAGGAGAAGAGAGACCGGGACGCTCGATTCGAACGCCTCCACTCGCTCGCGTACCAGCCGTCGCTGCATGCAAACGCGACGCAGACGGCGACCGACGTCGACAGCGACGACGGCTGGGACGACTAGACTTCTGGTTTCTGATCTCGATTCTGGTTCTTCGAGTCGATTCAGAGATTATGACAGAGATGGTATCCTATATAGATTTTTCGGATGCAACTAGAGCGATCGCAGCAAGGCCGGCGGACGGTACGGTCGTCGGAGGTCGTTGAGCATCTCGGGCGTGTCCCGATGGCCGTCCTACGTCAGGGTCGACGGTTGTAGGACCGACCAGCGTGGGTACCTGGTCTCGACGCGGCGTGGGCTCCAAAAGGACTTGGGTCGCTTGCTCGAGGTAAAAGCTGCTGTCGACGGAGGCGACGTCACCCTCGTGGTCGAGCAGCGGCGTCTACAAGCTGCGATCAACACGCCCCAGTTGAGGAACTGACGAAAATGTGTACTTTGGAGAGAAGAGGTTTTTGAGGTTCGTGCTGGGCAAGGTAATAGACACCGACGAGAATACCTACAGAAGACAATATTGTACAATATACAATAGACAATATTGTGTACAAGCAAACGCAAGTAAAAACGAAATGCTCTGGAAAAACTCGAGCCGCGACAAATCGTTATAAAACACCATGCCGCCGACGACACCAAACTATCATCAATTCGCAAAATTGAGGAATTGCAATGTCAAAATGTGAGAAAAATGGTACCGCGATCCAAAACACTTGAAAGATGGGAAAGACGACGGCAATGTCGCCGCGCATGAGCGCTTGGTTGAACCAGTGGATCTGGAGGAGGACAGTCCCGAGCATGCCGCCAAAGAAGCAAAAGGTCGTCGGGTGCGTAAACTGGGACGGGCCGTCGAGACTCGTCTTGACCATCTCGGACGCGCACTAATAACATGCATATCGTTTATATAGTCCTTGGCAGAATAGACATCAAAGAATATGGTTAGAATACCTTGCCCAGCAGCATCGAAATCGAGCCCATGATCCCCGAGACCTATCCAGAATCCATATTTGGATACATGTTGGATCGATCCAATGGAGCCTACCGTCGCGTACAGCGTCGGCTCAATATTGGAACACGTCTCGTCACTGCAGCGAAGAAAGCGACGAAGGCGGCTTTGACTCCGGCCGGTCCATAGCACCCGGTTCTATCGGGATCGATCCTTCTGCCACCTGCGAGCGTCGGAGCGTACCTGGGTCGTCGAGACAGTCGACCCTTCCGACTCGATGAGGACGAGGAGGTAGCCGATGAGACCGCCGAGGGCCACCAAATAGGCGACCACGACCGGCGATTCGAACCGGCGCACGAGCTACGACATGTATGGGTGAGACGATGCAGCAGAAGAGGCCAAATGCTCTACTTGGTCAACGTTGTACTGCTCGTCTTGCGGTGATGAGATCGCGATGAGCACAACGCCGAGGAGGATGCAGATCGTGCCGTACGCGTCGCGGACCGTCAAGCTCTCGCCATGCCAGTAGGTTGAGAAGAGGACGTTGGTGACGACGGTCGTGCCGCCGCCGACGGTCGCGACCAGCGACTGCGTGGCAAAGCTACATAGCAAATATATAGCGATGATGCACGAGATAAGCGTACCTCAGTGCCTCAAAGTCACCAACCGAGCCGAGCACGACAAGCGCGAGGCCAAGCACCCATTGCCGCTGGCCAAAGTACGCGCCAGTGTCGTCCGAGGAGGCGTGCGCGAGCTTTTGCAGCTGGACGCCGCAGTTGGAGATGACGGCCGCAGCGATCGTGATGCCGAGACCGACGAGGTTCGCCGCGTCAAAGAGCGTCGTGTCGAGCGGAAGGCCCACGTCGTCGCGCATCGGGGCGAGACCCGGCGTCGCCATCCACCGTGAAAACGATCTTTCGGTCGAAAGGGCGCAAATAACGGCCAAATCCTGGCCTTTCTGCGCGAACGATAGCGTCCTCCCGCCGAGCGCGCAACAACCCGTTCGACAGGAGCAATGCAGGAGGAGAATCCAAGCGAGGTCATGGTCGAGCCCGTGGGACTGCGCGTGCATGTATGTAGGTGGGTGCTGAAGCGGTGCTCGCCTGTCTGTAGCAGTCGCACGATACTACATTCGGTCGCTGATAACAACAAGTACAACACGAAATAGCGATGCTCGAAGGGTCCGTCGTGCCCTGTTCGAGACGGTGTGGCCCGAGGTCGCAGCTGTGGCGCCATGGGCCCAGTCAATACAACACGCTGCTGGCGAGCTACACAAGCGGTATGTGGTCGGCGTGCGGTGGGCCTTCTGCGTGCAACCTGTTCAACGCATGGACGCCCATGTTGGAGGACCATCGCCATTGCACCGTCGCGTAGTAGCGCTGCATCGATCGATGGCTGTGGAGAGAAACTGGTGTGCCAACGTAGTTTGGGCCTCGCACGCCGGGCAAATCGCAGTGGCGTCATCGCGCGAGCTGCTGCTTGGCCTGCACGAGTCAGCGCCGACACGCCATGGGCCTACACGTCGTCATCCGATGCGTGGGTGGCACGAGGTCGCGCTGGCGGCCACCACCTCCGACCAGGTGGCACGGCCGATTCAAACTCCGCGCCGGATAATGTCCGGATACGCCTGAACCGGCAATTCAAACTTTGAATTTCAAGGCCATCGGCAAGCGCGGCAGGAGGTCCACGAAGACGCGGGCCGGCTGCATGGAGACGTCGCGCGAGGTAGACGACAGACGACGAAGGACCATCATGAGCACAGAGAGGACGAAGGACGATGATGCGGATGGGCGAGATGGCCATGCGCCCAAGCGCCAGCGGCTCGGCGACGCCACGACGGCGACGCTGGCGACGATGCGCAGCAAGAAGCGGTACTCGATCGCGAATGAGTTTGAGCGCGAGATCAGCGCGGCCAGCGGTGGCGCCTTTGCCTTGTCCACGTCACCACGCCAGAGCCCTTCCAAGGTGACGCGGCGCGAGACCATTTCGCCGACCGCGCAGCAGGAGCTTCGCCTGCCAGGGCGGCGCGAGACGCTGTCGCCACGCGGCTTTCTTGCCCTCGAGTCCATGATGCGCGCGCCCAACGAAGTCGACGAGGCTGACATGCTCACGGGGATGCACGACAATTTGCCACCCCATGTGATCCGCGAGTTCAGTCCCGAGAAGCCCAACGACGACGAGACCGAAGAACACAAGGTCGACGAAACCCACGAGTACATGGCCCCAAGCGACCGTCGTAGCACGCTGGACCCGACAGAGGTCGCCGCCATGCTGCCACCGCGAAGCAAGACGGTGGACAACCGCCATGCGACTCTCTCTATCGACACGCGCCGAGACACGCTCGACCCGAGCCAAGTTGCCGCCATGCTGCCACCGCGAAGCACTCGCCACGCGACCTCGGGCGCCATTGACCACAGCGACCGCCGGGACACGCTCGACCCGACGCAAGTGGCCGCCATGCTGCCGCCGCGACACGGTCCTCGGCGCGAGACCATGGACGCTCGCGAGATGCTGCACATTGTCGAGTCGTCTCCAGCCGACAGGCGGGCGACCTTGGACCCAATCGAGAGCATGCGCTTGTTGCGCGTCGATTCGCCCGCGCCGTCGGCAAGCAGCGCCAGCCGGCGCGAGACGCTCGAACCCGGTGCCATGTCGCTGCTCGAGGCCTCGCCCATCGCCGCCAACGCCAATGACCGCCGGGCGACGCTGGACCCGGCCGAGTACTCGGGGCTCTTGCAGCTTGGCAGCGACGACGACGACGACGATGCGGGTGGTCTCCAGGAAATGTCGCTGCACATGGAGTACTCGATCGCCGAGTCGGAAGCGCCGAGTATGGAGATTGAGGACGACGACGATGTCAACATGCTCGACGATGCCAGTCGTACGGACGACGCAGGTACGATCGATCGCACTTCTGCACGGCGCTGTAGCGAACATTGGTTCACGCTAGCACCCCACCGTCGACCGACGCCCGTGACTCAAGACGATGACGAGGACATGGTGGCAGCACCAGCATTTGCATCCCCGCCCATGAAGCGGACGCTGGCCGTACACTAATACTGGGTTTTTGCGACATCTCACTACGTTTGGCCGTGTAGACACCGCTCAAGAGCTGTCTCAGCGCGCGAAAGCCCAAGCCGCCGACTAACAACGCAACGACACCGACCAAGACGCTCACGTTTGGCCCGCCGACGGGCGCCGAGTTTCGAGCGTCGGACCCGTCGACGGCCATGACGCCCATGTGCGAGCGCACGGCCAAAGCCATGTTCCCGCTCGAGAAGGACGAAGACGCAGAAGACGAAGAGACGTCGGTCAACAGCAGCATCCTCGACGAAGCCGACCTCTTGGCCGACGACGACCACGCGAGCGCGTATGCATTTGGCCCGATGCAGAGCCCGCGCCGGGGCAGTCCGCGCCGCAAGCTCCCACACCCCGTCGTCGGCGTGAGTCCGCTCGACAACCTGACCGAGGCGCGTCGGAAGCGCCGGGCGTCGTTCAGCGCCAAGGACATGCCGGCGCCGTCGCGCCGCCAGTCGCTTCTCGGTGTCAACGTCATGGCCGACGACTCGAACGCGTTCATCGCGGGAAGTGCGAAGAAGCCGATTCACCGCACCAAAGCCCGCGGTATGTAGCCCTCGAGACGACATGTCTCATAGTTGGTGCCATGGATGTAGGCGCGACGCCGCCCAAGTCGACGCCCTTTGTCGACTCGTCGTCCGAAGACGAAGACATTGATGTCACGGGTGAATACTTTACGATGCCGCCGGCGCTTGTCGTCGCACCGACGACTAACGGCCTCGACGACTTGCTGGCCGACAACTCGCTCTCGATGCCACTGACCGCCTCGTCGTCGACCGAGGGTGCACTCGACGACGATGTGTCGATGGCGTTCTTGAATGTGGCGCCGGCGATGACGGACGACGGCCAAGACCCGACGCTGGACCTCGGACCCGTCGGGCCACTTGCGAGCGACCCGTCGTTGTTTTCGCAAGAGTCGTCGTTTGTTCCGTCGTCGATGGAGACATTGGCACCGATTCTGGAGGAGTCGGATCTGAGCCGCATGGACATGAGCTCGGACGACGACGATGACGACGAAGACGAAGATGAGAATGCCGAGTACCAGCGCCGGCGCCAGTCGGTGGTCGTCAACCTCAGCGGGCGCTTTGAGAAGCTCGGGTCGTCGGGCAAGAAGAAGAAGACGACGAGCAAGCACGCGCTCTTGCCGCTCGAGGACCTGCCCCGTCCCGCCGCGCTCGACTTGAGCGACGATTCACTCAACAGCAGCCTCGACGACGTCGACATGCAGGATGATGACAATCTTGCCGTGGTCGATACGGACAGCGTCGTGCCGGTCGACGTTCCACCCGTGACACTCGAGGCGCTCTTTGCCAAGCTCGATGTCGCCCGCATCCATACCTCAGTCGATGCGATCATGGCCGGCGGCCCCGTCACGGCGCTGCAGCACGTGTCGCCGTACGAAGTCGACGTGCGAACATCGCTTGCATCGGCGCAAGACGAGCTCACGTCCTTTATTGACGAGCTGGCCACCGTCATGGAGACCGCGTCCGGCATGCATGTACCGACGCACCTCGCGGCCTTGTACCATAATGGGCCGCTGCCGTCAAGCCTCGCCACCTTTTATGAGCTCAAGGCGTACCTTGTGCTTGGCGGGTGGCTCGAGTGGCGCACGAAGCTCGAGCAGGCGCGCACGACGTGTCTTCGCCCGCTGCTGCAGTCGGCGAGCAGCGACAAGGCAACGTTGGACGCGGCCACCGCGACCCTTGGCCTCAAGGAAGACCAAGAAGGGCACATTGTCGACGGGCTGCTTGCGAATGAAAAGGCTACGCGGGCCGAGCTCGAGACGATTGAAGAGCAACTCGTGATCCGCGCCGAGCTCACGGGACGGCTGCATGCGCTGAGCCGGCAAGTCGACAGTCTCCACAAGACGCTGTCGACGCACGCGGCGCAGACGGCGACGCTCGAGGCGCGTCACGCCAACGCGTCGATGGATGTGTCGGAAGCGACCCTCGCCACGCAGCTGGATGCGACCAAAGCCGCACAAGAGACGTACCAGCTTGCGTCCGGCGTGTTGAAATGGCGGTGTCTCTCCGTCTCGGCGGTTGCGGTGGCCTTGGCGCTGCAGTGCAAGGTCTGGAACGCGACCGTGCATGTCGCCTTGGACGTCGATCTGAGCGCGGCCGTGCCGACGGCTTCGTTTGCAGTTCACTCGTCGCCAAGCGTCGAGGTGCTTGGGACCGACCTCCAGCGTGTGCTCTTTGACACAACAGCACTGGAGAAGGCGGCAAAGTTGACGCTGCGGTCGCACGACGATGTGCCAACGCTGCTGCAGACGGCCGAAGTGACGCTGCTTCGCGCGGCCCGCGTGCACAAGGAAGTTCTCTTTCTCGAGACGGACCATACCGTGTCGGTGAATGACAAGACGCTGCAGGTGCGGTTTACGTCACAGCGCCGGAAAATCCGGTTTGGCGTCACTTGGCGGCTCTCGCCCAACGTGTTGTTTGAGCCGCTGACGTTTGCGCTGACGGACGTGACGGGTCTGACAAAGGTATGACGGACGACCTTGTCGTTGGTGCTCATAACGGTATGCATTAGGCCCAAGAGCGAGCGATTTTAGACCGACTCGAGACGGTCCCACGAGGCTTTCGACGCCTACGACAGCTGTGCCAGTGCGTCGAGCGGTACTTGGACGACTTGTAGCAAGTAGTAGTAGGAAGTAGTAGAAAAGATTAAAGATTTTTGAGCTTGGGATCACCGTCGTCGATCGTCGAGTGT